ATGTGTGTATATATATTATATATATATGTGTGTGTATATATATGTATATTGCACAAAGTGTCGTGTACTTTCTATAGCAATTTTAAACCGTGTACCGATTGGAAATTGAAAAGTTTACTTTGAATTTATCAAAATCGCTTCTAAAATAACTTGCATTTGTATTTTTATACGGAAAAGGATATATTTATGAAAATTGAAATATTAAGAAAGAATATATTTTGATTATTATCAGAAGTGAAGTTAGCCTCTGATTAAAGATTGAAAGGCAATAGAATCAATAGGATTCGAGGACTTGAGGAGCCCAGCAGTACAGGGATTCTGTAACTTTTAATTGATAGTGTCGATATCATTACGCAATTTTTTATATATATCTTACATAATACCTATGCAACGATAATATAACGATCTGACACTGGTTTAGTTTCCACTGAAATCTTCAATTCGCTTCCTGCACTTTGATGCAGATCAAATTTAGAGTATCATTTCCATTGGAAATAGAAGCCTTATGGATTAATGCGGGAGCTTCTGAAATGAGTACAATCAAGTGCATTACCATCGACTTAAAGTTGGTTTTACGCTGTATTAGATGCTTCGGTGGAAACTAGATAACTGTCGAGAGTTACAGAATCTCAATACTGGACCTGAACAATCCAATTTGGGTTTGGATGTCCAAGGATCCATTCGTAATTTTAGAATATAATGTAAACTTCCTCAAGAAATTACCAAGCCTATAAATACGTCGATCGACAAAAGTCAAAGTCCGCAGCGTCATTTTCGCTACTAACATGGTAACATCTTTTTTTTCCTCCATGGACGCTGCTCATAATCACGGACCTCGTGTCGACGATGGACCATCGACCACCCCCGGGCAAAACCGATCGATAACAAACCGATCTCTAATACGAAACTCACGTCGTCTCGGCCATCGCTCATCCGCAAAATTGCCGTCTTTCTTGACAACTCTCCCCCTCATCGATTCCCTCGGTGGCTCCATCGACCACGGGTGTAATCGTCCGATTGATTTACGTAAAACTGGTCGTGACCGCGATCTACGGTAAGGAGCCGGACTCCTCGGCTGAGGAGGACGAGGGAGTCGACGAGTCGGAGAACCAAGAAGAGGGCTCCCTCGGACGCCATGGTGGTCACACCACGAGAAACGGCCTCGCATCCGCAACGCTTCCTGTACGAGTCACATCTCGTCTCTCGGTAACGCGCACCAACCTTCCTCTCTCCCCCCCCCCTTCTATCACCGCACAACTACAAAAACCACAACGCAATCTCCTCTGCAGCAAGTTTTCCGTAGTCGCCGAACGGACCTTAGCATCTTCGAGATCGCTCGCTTTTACGATACAAATTTATGACATCTCGCGAATTTTATTACTTGATTCATAGTGTGACGGAATTACATGGGAATTATACGGTGCCATAAATCAATCTTTAGAAAAATTACTTATTTAACTTCATACAAAAGACGATATCTTATGATTACTGTCCATTAGAACCAACATACATATTTATCTTTTGTGTAATTGGATGAGAAAATGATTTATTGCAAACTTCGTGGTGTTTTATATGTCATAAACGTTCGATGTAAGTGGAAAAGATCATGAAATTTATTACGCCATGACACAAAATGATATTGGAAGATATATGTGAAGTTAAATAATTATTTATAAAATGTAATTTGTGAACATTGAATTCTATCCAATTGAGTACACTCTATCTAATTGATTATGTCTATCAACACTAATTATTTATCATTATTATGCTCGCAGCTGTTTTAAATTAACCTTAATGTTATTTAAACCTTTGACGAAAGCTTTCTAATAAAACTTAAAGAAAATCTTATTTTCTAAAAGTATGTGAGGTGACTGAATTTGGTTTCTTAACATTTTAAAATTCTATTTCGGATGACTTCAAAATTATAAAATTAAAAAATAATCTTAATTATCTTTGTAGAATTCATTATTAGAAACTGTTTGCTATCGCTGAGTTTGAATCTGAAAATGTATAAATTCAAATAAATAATAACTTTCAATGAAGAAGCCTCTACTGTTATGATTAGTTATTTTTAAAAGTTAATTTAAAAATCAATTTGGAAATCAATCAGAAAATCTGTTTGTGTAACATAGATGAGTTTCAAATAAAATGAAACTTGAAGTTACTTTGTAATTAAAAATTCTATAAAACTAAGTTTTACGAGATAATTAGAGTATCTAAAAAAAATTCTGTCCACCTTATTGGATTCACCATTTTGATTTTTCTTACTTTCGATTCGAATAAAACATTATCCTATAGAAGTATTTCATAAAAATCGAACGAGCAATTTATAAAATAAAAGGAGGTGTAACTTCAAATAAGGTCTCCCATACACAAAGAATTAAATAACTATTTTGAGATATTATTTTCAAGACCGGTAAAAATTATGTGTAAAAATGATGTAGTTTGAATTGCAAAAGACTTTCGTGATTTGCATGAATTTTGGGATTCAATGTCTAAAGCTTTTCTTGCACAGAAGATGCTAAAGGAGCGTTCGCTACCTTTCACCTTTTCTCTATCACGAGTGAAAAATATCAGCTTTTCTCAAAGTGCCCATCCACCAGAGCACCGCTAGTCGCTAACGTTTCTTTTCACCCATTTCGCACTCGCTTGAATTCGACGGGATCTCGACAGGTTGATATCTCGGCGAGTTAGCTGAGCTGGCAACTTAGCGGATATCCAGTAAACGACTAGCGAGAACTCACCACACGGCATTCTTTCATTTTCGTTCGCGGAAATGCTTAGTTTCGTGAAACGGAATAGAAGATCGCTCAGTGCGATTGCTCTACACCGTGACTGGGTCAAAAACCGTGTCGTTATGTACGGCGATCGATATGTAAAAGGAACGCGCGGGCGTGATTAACGGGCGGATCGATGTGAACCGTTTTCTTATCTCTTGCGTCCTGAACGTGTCTGGCGGAATATATTGGCAAAAAGATGTATTATACACCCGGCTTCGAAGGAAGCACCGTTTTATTATTTTTCATTTGCAGCACTTCTTAGATTGTAAGTCGACAAACACTCCTCTCTTCGTTGCACGAAGAAACACCACCAACCTCTTTAATTTAAATGGCTAAACGTAATCCGTTTTCTTTATTTTCAGCACTCCACCAGGCCGTCTATTCCAGTGAAAGGTACGTTAACCACGGAGGATTCTTTCGATCCTTTGCTATCTCGTTATACTTTGCTAAAGCGGCATCGTTATCGGTGAAATCGTGACGCTTACAATGAACTCCGCGCGCGTGTGGCGATGCCTGTATTTTCGCACTTCGGAAAATTTTCATCATGAAATAGATTTCTTGGCCGCTTTAATTGCGACGGTGTAACACGTGTTTTAATTATACCGCTAAATAAAACGGATATAGAAATCTAACGAAACCAGACTAATTGCATGCGTTTCGCTTACACGCCACTCCGCTGATCTTTGTTTGAAAAGGGAGATTTGTGAACAAACGGAACAAATTTCCACATGCTTCTTGATTCACGCGCCGATAAGCGTGAATGACTGTCGAACTTTCGACGTTCGATAAGTCAATTTCGTTGTGGAACTCCACGCCTGGTCGAGTGTATGTACGTCGTCTTTTCACCTAGATAAAGTCAAGTAGCGACGAGCCTTCGCTGCACGTGTATACGGCTAAGCCGTGACTATCGATATTCGTGCGCCGTATGCAAGGCAAGGGCAAGGACCTCGACGGGGAGCCTACAGTACGACGTGGTAGACCAAGCTAAGGGGGTGTATTTTGCTGTTGACCCTCCTCTCTCTAGCACTGTTCGATTTACCTCGGCAGTGCGCACCACCCGGTGGAACGTCGCTCTCGTTCGCCTCTCGCCACGAACGACTTGGTTCTTAATAATCGTCGAGATTTCGCGTATGCCGCGTCTATCATGAGATTCGACCCGCTCGCCTATTGTTTCCGAAGGAAAAATAAAATCAGCAATTGCGAAAGTACAGACGTCGCCGGCGATGACAATCAGATCCTGACACTTCGAATCGAAGACGACGACGCCGGTAATGCGTGTGGTGGATTTCGTGTTCGAGATTCTGTGATGTCTTTGTTGATAATGCTATTGAATACCTAGATTCTTTTTAAAGTATCATACTCTTTAGATTTCTGGAAATGAACTCTCACTCCAAAAGAATTAAAATACTGCCACTATTGAAAAAGAATGAAAAATTTGCACTCTTCAATAAGAGTGGCAGATTTTCATTCTTTTTTTTTTAAAATATGAGATTCATTCCAAGAAAAAAAATCTCACTCCTTTTTTGGAGTGAATCTTACTCCCAAAAAAAAAAGTGAAAATCTGCCACTCTTATTCAAGAGTGGAAATTTATCTTTTTTTTTTTTTAACAGTGGCAGTTTTAATTCTTTTGGATTAAGATTTCACTCCAAAAATTTAGAGAGTAGTACAAACATTTTCGCATTTGCATACGATGCCTTTATAAAATTTTTATAGTTTAGGTTTTGAGTAAACTAGAATAAAATTGGCTTGTGAAATTAGTAATTGTTTAACTTCGAGATATGTACTTCGAGATATGAACCAATCACTTTTTGTTAAACAGTATAACTGAGCGAAAATGTATGTCTAATAATTCCGCGATTTTATCTTGAATTAAACATAAGTGTAAATCTGAAAGTAAATGTGATTTCACATACTTTGTAAAGGAACGATAAAGTGCAACTGCGTTTAAAACTTGAAAAATTTTTTGCAATTTCTTTTTACTAACGACAGAAACCTAGGTTTTCTTTTCCACTGATATAGTATAGTGATTAGAAATAAAATATCAGATTCGAGGCGTCAGCGTGAAAAGAATGGACGAAAAGATTGAGATAGATCACGCGAGATCAAAGATATAATTTATGTTTTTCTTCTGATTTTAATCTTTTGACGTAGTCAGTTCGATCGCCAAGGGTAAAGAGGACAGTGCGGGCACCATTAATCCTCATACCAATATTTCAGCTGGTTCGAATAGGCAACTATCACGACCAACGGGTCGACCGACGAACATAATGTCGTCGACCACGTCGGTGAACGGTCACGGCGAATCGGTTTCCGGCCTCACAGGACGCCGGGAACTCGAGAATATACCACCGACACCGACGACAGCCGTCACGCAATGCCTGATGACTCCGGTGCAGAACAGACAGCAAAAACAAGCGCAGCAGCAACAGCAACAACAGCAACAGCAGCAGCTGCAACAACAAGCCCAGGTAGAGAACGGTCGGGGTAGGCGATCCAACGTCGTCAAGGAGGTCGAGAGATTGAAAAAGAACAGGGAAGAGAGGAGACAACGACAAGCAGAACTTAAGGAGGAGAAGGAAGCGCTAATGAATCTGGATCCAGGCAATCCAAATTGGGAGTTCCTTGCCATGATAAGGTTACTATCGATTCTAAAATATAATATTGTTTAAGAAATATCATTTAATATTATATAATTAGAATTACATACCTCTAATAAATTATTGATCTTCGTGGAATATTTGTAAACTTAATGTTTAATTTTGATTGATAGGAAATATGATGTATCAACTGTATTGTTTAACTATTTATTTGTTTAATTTTTACAGAGAATACCAAAACAGCATAGAATTTAGGCCGTTGCGGGAGACTGACGCCGTGGAGGATCATCAGATCACTGTGTGCGTGAGGAAACGTCCACTTAATAAGAAGGAGCACGCGCGCAAGGAGATCGACGTGATCAGCGTGCCTAGCAAGGATCAGATGGTAGTGCATGAGCCGAAGTCCAAAGTCGATCTCACGAAATATCTTGAGAACCAGATCTTCAGATTTGATTATGCGTTTGATGAGACGTGTAACAACGAGATAGTTTACAAGTACACGGCCAAACCGCTGGTGCAAACGATTTTTGAGGGTGGCATGGCTACGTGCTTCGCGTACGGTCAGACCGGCAGCGGCAAGACCCATACAATGGGAGGTGATTTTAATGGCAAAACACAGGACTGCAAAAAGGGCATTTACGCCATGGTTGCCAAAGACGTGTTCAAATGCCTCAAATTAGCTAAGTATCGGCCCCTGAATCTGGTCATTTCCGCTAGCTTCTTTGAAATCTACTCTGGCAAAGTGTTCGATCTTTTGGCGGACAAGGAGAAATTGAGAGTTCTGGAGGACGGCAAACAGCAGGTTCGCTTTATTGAAATAAGAAATTTTAATTGGGTCCGATCACTAATTAATTATATATTTAAATAATCACTATTAATTAAAGTTTATATCAATTGCTCTTATGTTCAATATTACATATTTATTTTTAATTTATTTTGGCATATATCTTTCATTATATATCAGTAAATTCCTAAGTTAATTGAAAATTATTCGTGATAATGCAATTTAATTTGAAATTTTCTCTTGTTTAACAATAGGTGCAAATAGTCGGACTGACGGAGAAGGTTGTAGAAACTTGCGACGAAGTATTAAAGTTAATACAACACGGGAACAGCGCCAGAACGAGCGGTCAGACGAGTGCTAATTCTAATTCTTCGAGATCACACGCGGTATTCCAAATAATAGCGCGTATCCCGGGCACACATAAGGTGCACGGAAAGTTCTCACTCATCGATCTTGCTGGTAATGAAAGGGGTGCTGATACGTCGTCTGCTAATAGGCAAACACGTGAGTAAATGTATAATCAATTCTGAATGACAACTGAAATGATTATAATTAATGATCTACGTCTTCTTTAATTTTACGACATAAACTAACTAATGTTACTGAAATTTTTAGGAATGGAAGGTGCAGAGATCAATAAATCCCTATTAGCATTAAAAGAATGTATACGCGCATTAAGCCGTAAGGGTACACATTTGCCTTTTAGAGCGAGCAAGCTGACACAAGTATTAAGGGACAGTTTTATTGGTGAAAAATCAAAAACTTGCATGGTAAATTGTTTTATAGTTATATTATCATGAAATAAAGATATCAAAAGGAAAATAGATAATTTACCAGGTGTTATTCATTTATAGATAGCGATGATTAGTCCCGGAATGAGTTCCTGCGAGCATTCCCTAAATACGTTGAGATACGCAGATCGAGTGAAAGAATTGGCGGCAACTGATCCTACCGAAGTAAAAGCTTCACCGACTGATGATGATCGGGGAATGAAGATTGAGGAACAGGGAAACAATAGTGTATTGTCGGATAGCGATTTAGCGCAGCTTCGATCTCTCAATGTAAGCGATTCTCTACAAACTCATAACAATATATTATAAAATTCCACAATTATAAATCGAATAATAGTAATTAAATATTATTCATTAAGGTTAAAGAAAAAATTATCTAAGTGAAAATGATTCTTCGCAGGAAGGTGAACTTTCGCAAGATTTGTACACTTTCCATGAGGCAGTATCAGCTCTGCAACTGCTCGAAGAAGAAGTATTGGACACGCACAAACTGGTCATGGATAATTCGACTAAATTCCTTAACGACGCGCACAGTGTGTTCAGCGCGACTCATGAAGTGGATTATGACCAAGAAGGTAAGACAAATTTATTTTTGTTTGCACATTTACGTTTTTCTATTGGTTTTCCGTTTGTTACTGCTTTAATCTCTTACACCATATTGTGCTGGACGATGCACTTCTGTGGAGAACGTAATACATAATTCCGACGTGTCTCTTCCATGTGTCACAGAAGCATGTCTTCTTTCTTTTCGAGAAAAATTTTCAAATATGAAAAATTGATATTTAATGGGGCTTTTAGCGTCAGATTTTCGTGGTAAAAATTCACAGACATCATGTGGCGATAAGCATCGAATCTTCTTAAGTGACGATTCATGTTGCTTTTGTTGAGATTCCGTCAGTAACTTATAGTAAAAACTTAAAAAGTACGAAACGTTGTACTTGCCGGTATCACAGTGCATCGCATTTTATAACAGATATGCGCAGTAAGACTAAGGCAAATTCGATCGTCACATTAAATCATCACCGGAGAGACAGCAGCCCGACAAACGCGATGATAGTGATAAGTGACGACACGGACAGCGACACGCAGACTTTAAACACATTGGAAGTAAATACAACCGCGGAGAATTCATTGATGTCTCGCTGGAAAAATGAGATGGAGCTCGGAAGTGATTTGAATGACACCGAGGACTCGAATGTTCTTCCTCGCACGCCTGTTAGAACTATTATTAAGAAGAAAAGCAGTCAAAATGCTAGAAAGAATTCAATTAATAAAAGCACGCTTACAACAGAGCGTTCTATTCAAAGATCCAATCAAAGCCAACGGATAAAAGGGTCCATTAGTAACAAGAAGACTCAGAAATATCATTGGTCTGGTACATTCCGTATTAAAACAAGCCCTAAAGATACACATTGTAATACTTATTATTCGCTTCGCAAAGATAAATTACACGACGTGAAAAATCAACTGACGAATTATAATTATTATTACGAGGACTTCGCGAAAAAAAAGTCTGCGAGTAAAGAAGATATTTTTAACCCGAACAAATTCGACTCTCAAACTATCGACGATTCATGGGAAAAGTGGACCGACAGCAATGTTAGCTGCCGGTCTTATATCGGCATTTGCGTTAATGATTGTAAAAAATGTATTAATTTTAAAGACGATATCAATCAAGATAACTGCGGATTGCCGGCAGCATTTTCTAACGTTAATATTTTAAAACGGAGAAACATGACGGATAAAAGCGATAAGAATAAGAACACACATGATGTTGACTCAGAAACAGACAACAGTATTATTTTATATTCTCAACATGATATCAGTAATGTTAACAAGGAAAATAGTAATCTTTGCAATGCCAAAGACTTGGTCGAGTCTTCAACCAATGTTAAATCAAATACTAGAAAAACAATTAATAATAAGAACTCTGCTATTCAATTAGATTGCTATAAAATTTGGTATTCTTTGCTATCTTTCTTAAAAAACGTTATTTTATTTTTGCTGCTGCCAACAGCATACATTATCTTTTTTATTTATATACAAAAGAAAGAGGATAAAAAACAGGGTAACATATGATTATCTATATAAAATATATGAATTAATTCTAAGCCTTATTGTATGTTTTTATATGTGTGTATTATTCATAGAAAAAAGAGAATGATAATGCTAATAAGAGTCGACACAATTGATTGTGTATAATCCATATATATA